CACTACCTGAGCACGGAATCCTCCTGGCACCGGGACCTGGCTTCCTTGGGAGACTCCAGCCCAGGAGTCCTTCGGCCCTGTCTCCTCCCTTATCTCGCCCCGCTTCAGCCTCAGAGAGGCCACCACCCTCCATGAAGAGGCGCGTCTGACCCATAGCCTGACTCCTGAGCCCAGCTGCTCCAGGGTTACAGCTCAGCCAGGGACAAGCCGGCCTAAATTCCTTCCCCAAACACAGTGATTCTTATCATTTCTGGCTTTCAGTCTACCACCTCAAAGCAATATAATTTCTTCTGCCCTTTCTCCCTCCAACCCTGTTTTTCTCCAAGCTCAATTTATATATATTTTAATAATCATTTAAAAAACGTAAAATACATAGGGGTCTTATTTTGTTTTAGTATTTGCAAGACCTACCTACTGGAAATGATAAGACTGCTGAAAGAAAGAAAAAAAGGAAGTCCTAAATAGAGAAATAGGGCCTGTTTGTGAACACGTAGACTAACATTGTTAGAATGTCAATCTGCTGTAAGTTGATTTATAGATTCAATGCAATTCCCCTCAAAAATCCCAGCTGACTGTCCTGTAGATGTTGTCAAGTTCATACGAAAACTTATTTGGAAAGACAAAGGAGCTACTGTAGCCAAAAAAAAAAATTCTGAAAAGCATGGAGAATCAACAGTGCTTTGTTTCAAGAATTATTATATACGTATGATAACTAAAACTGTGTGGTATTGGCATAAAAATAATTATAAAGACAAATGGAATGGAATAGAGCTCAAAAATAGGCCCTATCTACTGGATCAACTTATATTGCAACATAAAAGCAATAAGAAAAGGATCATCTTTTCAAGCAATGGTGTTGGAAAAATACCAATAAATCAGTAAGCTTCAAATATTACCTCACACCATGCAAATTAACTCAAAAAGAATCATAGGTCTAGGGCCCTCCTTGGTGGCGCAGCAGGTTAAAGCACAGCACTGAGAAGCTAAAGCCACTTTCACATGAGTTCGATTCCCGCCTGCCCCGGAGGTGACCACATGGCGTGGCAGACCTGCTCCCCTCAGCAGTGTACTTCGTCGATCTGCCTGTTCTGCTCCCCACTGTGTTTCTGGTGAATCCTCTCGCTGCCCCTGAGCCTCTGGCCTGTACCCCAGTTCTGTATGCACAAATAAATAAATCTTAAAAAAAAAAAAGAATCATAGATCTAAACATAAAAACTAAAACTATAAAGTTTCTAGAAGAAAACACAGGAAGAAGTCTTTGTAACCTCTGTAGGCAGATTTCTTGGACAGGGCAAAAAAAAAAAAGCACAAATCATATTCAAAAAGTTAAAATACTGTACTTCAAAATTAAAAGTTTGGTTCTTCAGAAGTTAGAGAGAAAAAAGAAAAAGAAAGCTACATACAGGGACAAAATACTACCAATATTATCTTTATATCCAAATATATAAAGATGTATGCTAACTCAATAACAAAACAAATAACCCAGTGAAAAAGATATTCAAATGGCCTACATGTACATGAAAAATTGTTCAACACATCATGATCAATGGGAAAATGCAAATTAAAACCACAATGTGATACAAATACAATCCCACTAAGATAGCCAATATTAAGACTGACAGTAGATGACAAGAATATGGAGCAACTGAACCCTCATACATACTGTATAAAGTGGTCCAACCACTTTAGAATACTTTTTATAGTACTTAACTTTCTTATAAAGTTAAACATATGTGTACTATATAGCCCAAAAACTCAATCCTAAGTATTTATACAAGAGGGAAAAAAAAAAAGTATACAAAAAACATGTGTATGAATGTTTGTGGGTGCTTTATATGAAATAGCCTTAAATGGGACACAATCCAAAAGTCCATCAACTGACTGATGACTAAGCAAACACAAAAAGGAATAGTACTTAGCAATAAAAAAAGAATGTGCTACTTATATATGCAAAGATATGGATGAATCTCAAAAACTTTATTTTTAGTAACAGAATCAGTACATACATATGATTCCACTTATATGAAATTCTACAATGGGCAAAGCTAATTTATAGTTACAGAAAGCAAAATAACAATAATCTTGGGCTGGTGGGAGAGGATTGATACAAAGAAGTACAAGAGCACTACATCCTTTGGTGCGCTCTCTATAGTAATTGTGGTTATAATTACACAAAGATCTACATTTGTTATAACCCAAATGCCCAATGTGGACATTTTATTGTCATGCTGGTTTGGGGTGGGGGGAAAAGTTTGTTTTTCTTCTTCACAATGATGATACTGCCACTTAGAACCCCAGCAACCACCAAGAATGAACTTGCTGAACAGACAGTGTACCAATGGGTATGTGGAGAACTGTTTATCACACTTCTAATTGGGAAGATGCAGGGCAAGACCACAATGAGATGTCACCTCACTTTTGTGAGAATGGAACATATTAAAAATACCCACAACAAATGTGGGAGAGGATGCAGAAAAGGGGAAGCCTGCTTACATTATTGGTGGGCATGTTAATTGATGCAGCCATTTTGGAAAGTGATCTGAACAATTTATCTTAAAAAACTAAAAATGGAAATGGAAATGCTTTAGGGCTCGGCAGTTCCACTCTTGGGCATCTATTCAAAAAAACATGAAAACACCGATTCAAAAAATTCTATGCTCTACAATGTTTATTGCAGCGATGTTTACAATAGGTAGGACACAGAAACCACCTCAGTGTCCCCAACGCTAGAAGAGTGGTTCAAAAAGTGGTGTATCTGCACAATGGAATAGTATGCAGCCACAGGGAATTTCTTTTATCAATATGCAAAACATTTCATCTTCTGATTAGAAATGGGACTTCAAATGCAAATGACCCAGAGAAGAGACTAGCACCCTGCCTCACATTCTCACGCTACAGTGTGAGTGACTGACACCAGATTCCTCCCAAGAGCAAATTCTGACTGGAAGCTAGAAAGCCCGACCTGACAGAATTATAACTGTGTTTCTGGAGTGAGCACGGAGGCCGAATCTTGTCTGTTCCTTGAGACCAAATTCAGAGGAGCACAAGGCCCCAATTTGAGCTTATTCTCCAAGGATCTGTTCCCCAGAGTGGGCTGGTGGCTTATGTGTACTTTGCCACCTCTGCCCATCTGGGCTTCCAAACTGGAGTGACTCTGAGAGTCACATGATCCCTTTCAACCCCAACCCAGGCCTAATAAACCTCACGTCCCCCTTATTCACTATCTTCAAGCTCTAGCCTGTGCCCTGCTGCAAAATCCTTCCCCAGCCAAGTTAGACCAGGAGAGAAGGACCCCCTCTCCTCCTCCACCCCACCTGGCTTTCAGCCCATCCCCAACCCTAACCCCAAACAAACAAAAGAAGTGTGGAAATGAGCTGGTGTCTAAGAGGGTGCAGGCACCATTTGTCCTCCCTTCTCCACTGCAGCTCAGGAACTCTTCAGAGCTGGGAGATCGAGACACGGTGCCTGTCTTTATCTTCATCATCAACAGTCGCATTAACTTAGCACTTGAATATACTAGCTACTCTTCTAAGCGCTTTGCATGCACGAAGCCACATAATTCTCCTATGAATTTGCCACTATTACCCTCATTTTACAAATGAGAAACTGAAACACAGGCCTGGCCAAGAGCATATACTACAAATGGCAGTGTTAGGGGTTCACCTCAGCACCTGTGCCCCTGCCATTATTTCTGCCCCCTGAAACAGCGGCAGTACCTTCAAACCTGAAGTAACCCATCTTAACCATGTATGTGCAGTCCTCTGGAAGAGAGGAGTTCAGGCAGAAAATTCTGTCCCCTCTTTGACCAAAAGGGGATACTGAGGCCCAGAGACTGGGTGGCCTTCCCAGGCATCCGCCAGAGCTAGGGTCCTGGCTCACTACCCTCCCCCAGCTCCACATATTCCAGGAGAGGCCATTGCCCACAGCAGAAGCGAGCTTCACCCAGGGGTCGTGACCTGGAAATGAGCCACTGGCCTGACTCCAGCCAGCATGCCCTTCCCTGCAGGCTCTGCTAAGTCACTGCCTGGTGTTTTCTTGCCCTTACTATAGTCAGACTACACATCTCACACTGATTAGGGGGAAGGTCGCAAAAAGTGTAACAGGCTGCAAATAGTTGCAGTGGCTTTGGGAGGGATCAGGGGAGCGCTTTCCCACCTGAGACCCCAGCTCCCACTTAGAGTTCCTACAACTCAGGGTCAGGGACAGGACATTTCCTTGTAGCTTTTCCTCCAAACACTCCCCTCTCCCGCCCCACTCTCCCCAGGCGTCAACCCTGACTCTAGGCTTCCTTTTCCAATCCATTCTCTCTCCTCATTCTCCTGACAATTCACCCCATTCCAGACCTGATATTTGATCGGGTTTCCCCAGAGAACTGAGCCTTCAGCTGACACTCCCCAACATCCGTGTTTCCTTCCCTCATCTCCTTTGGATAGAGCAATTCCCTTCCCCAGCCTCGGAAACTACGCACCCCAACCCATTCACTCCGACTTTTGTGTTTGCGCTCCTCAAGAGGAAGGTGGGGAGCAAGTCTGAGGCCAGGACCGTAGCCGGACTGAGCCCAGGAGGTGGGCGACAGAGCCCCGAGGGAGGATTCGGAGAGGGCATCAGAGCGCAGAAGAGACGCGTGGACGGACCGCCACAGGGCGCGCCAGGTCAGACCGGCCTGGATCGGACACCTTGCGGAGTCCGGGTGCTTGTGGGAAGGGACCCGAGACCCTGCGGGGTGTGCAGGGTGGGACCTGGGACCCCGCGGGATGAGAAGAGTGGCAGTGAGGGGGACACAAGAAGCAGGGGTCCGGGCCCGAGCCGGGGAAGCGGGACACCGAGCTCCGGGCGCAGACTCCCACTGCGAGGTGGAGCTGGGTCCCGCCCCGGCTAAGGTCTGAGTTCGAGATCCCGCCCTGGACAGGGGCCGACGGAGGGAGAGGTTGCCCCCGCCGTAACCGGAGAGGGAGGCGGGCGGGCCGGGGGCGCGGGCCGAGGGCGCCGCGGGCACTGACCCGAAGTAGGCAGCGGCGGCGGCGGCGGGCAGCGCCAGCAGGCAGAGCGCAGCCAGGGCCAGAGCGGGCGGGGGGCGCATGATGCTGGCGGCGCGGCGCCCTCTCGCATCTCCTCGCGCCGCTCAGCTCTCGCAGCACCGCCACCAGCCACCCGCCGGGCTTTAAACCCCCGCGGGGCGGAGCTGGGGGGGAGAGGGGAGAGGAGCCTGTGGCGCCCACCCCGCGGGCGGCGAGCCCCCAGCCTCATTGGCTCGGCGCTCTAGCTCCGCCCCGTCGAGGGTGTGGCCTCCGTGCTGGCCCCGCCCCGCTGCCTTCTCCCCACCCCAACAGCCGCAGGTGAGCGCTCACCTGACCCGGTGCCTGCCGGGGATCTAGGCTGCGAAATAGGAAGCCCCAAGTATCAGGAGCGCCTGGAATGGGGGACTAGGTGGGGGTCAGGGAGCTCATGCCTCTCTGGGGCGGGATAGAGGGACGCACAAGATTTCCTCCCCCGAGGCGCGAGCGGTGGGAGACAGAGACCGAGGAAGCCCCTGAAGTCTACGGAGTATTCGCGTCGCATCCGCTGGCCGGCCCGGCGGATGACGGTCTCTGGCCAGGCTCCGGGTCTTGGAGGGCAGGGCCGGGTCCTGAGGTTGAGCCGCTGTCGGCGAGGGGGGCGGGGTGAGTGGGGGCGGGGCGCGAGATCCAAGTCCAGTGACTCGGGGGACACTCTTGAGTGGGGTAGAAAGGGGAGGTGCAGGTCCGTTGTCAGAGCAAAGGGATAAAAAGGCATCCTTTTCCTAGAGCAGAGGCTGTCAAGGTCAAGTGGACCTAGTGGACGTCGGTGGGCGTTTGACACAGTGCTGCTGATAGTCTTGGGACAAAACCAGATTCTCTGGTCAAAGAGTAGGCAGAGCTGGGAGCAGAGGAAGAATCTGCCTGCTTTCCAAGAACCTCCATCAGACAGGGTGGAACTCTCCAGTGCTAAGCTCTGTCTCTATTATTCTTTTTAAAAGTTTGACACACACCTCCCCCAGCTCGGGCAGGGAAGCTACAGTGATCAAGGCAATGGGTGGGCCAGTCTAGGAGGGAGACAGAACAAATGACCAGAGTAAGATTGGAAATGTTTTTGAAAGTCTGAATACTGGTTTGAATCAAGCAATACAAAATTTGAATTGTACTAAATGTCAAGACCAGCATTTAAAGAGCCCCATGCATGTAACACATCAGGTGACATCAACCTTGGCTCCGAAGTGGACACCATCGGGAACGGGGGAGGGGCTGGTGGAAGCCAGCAGCTGCAGAGGAAAAGAGCTTCACAGAGGAAGCCCCCAGCTATGGCCACTCTCTCTGGTTCAGCTGCCCTGACAAATGAGCAGAGTGACAAGATGACCCATGACCTTTGCCCAGTCTGCCAACCCCCTCCAATCTCATGCTCTGTTTATTGAGGTCCACAACCCTGGGTAATGAGCAGAGACCTGGAGCCAGGTCATGTACATTATGAATCCCAGGTACTAAGGGGGGTGATGACAAACATCTCACAGGATCTTTGTGCAGGTGAGAGTGATGTCTCATCACATCTATCACATCACGCCTCTGCCATGCAGTCACTCACAGTTGGGTGGCGGCTACCATCACAGGCACAGTGGTGGATGTCCAGTTTATATCACGGGCCAGTTCTATGCTGTACAAATTCCTACCCTTGCTGATTTCAGCCCCTTCATTGTGACAACACCCCGGTCACCCCTGTTAGGAAGAGTCCTTGCACTGGGCTCTGCCTGGCCAGCTCTAGCATCACAGTGGTGAGACCTTGAACCAGGCAGGCTCAGTGGCTCAGAGGGGCCGAATGGCTCCAGCATGAGTCACGGAGGGGGAGAACCCTACCAGGGCCCAGGCATGCCCATGGCAGGTGGGGAGGGGGAAGGTCCAGCCTGGGCTGCCCCGCTGCCCCTTCGTGCCCATAACCCATGCCAGACACACAAGCCCACACGTGCCTGGAGAAAGCAGGGGAAGTGGGGGGGGCACATTCTCCCAAAGTGACACATTTTCAGCATTTCCTAAAAGGTGCATGTTGACATCTTGGCATGGGTCACCCAGGCACAGTGAGGCTCACAGTCTTGGCCAAGTTCACTGGGGCACTGTGTGCCTCCAGCAACTGATCCTCAAGGGGCACTGGACCGAGGGGTGGCGAAAACAGGTCATCGCTACCAACATGGTGGTGTGCCATCACTGAAAAAGGAGCGGTGACCCTTGGGACTTAGGGCATCGTTTGTGCCTCCCCGCTCCCCCTCTGTCCTCCAAGCTCCTCCATAGTGGGCCTATGTTTTTTTTTTTCTTAAAGCTCCAAAGCCTGGTACTGGGTCCAGCGCATAGTAGGTCCTCAAAAGTATATCGCCAGCTTATAACCTTGGTCTGAAACCTCTTTATGGGTCTAGAGAGACAAACGATCACACCAACACTATCGTGTACATCGGCGTGGCCTCTTCCCTGCACACGTGTGCACACACACGACCCTGATGCAGGTCTGGGCTTCGGTGACACACAGACGTCCCCACACCTCCCCCATGGATGCCTGCATTCCTAGGCAGACCTGCAGCTGCTCCTGGACCCACACGTTCACACAGGTATGCAAGAGAAGCATTCTTCGACACCCACATGCAGGTACCTGTCTCCACACACTAGCCCAAGGCAGCCACGGCTGGGGGATGGCGCCCTCCCACCCTGAGCGTGCACACACGCGCACACACACTCTGGAGTCAGGTCTGTCAGGTCTGTGACCGAAAGCCTCGCAAGTCTGCATCAAATGCAGCTCCTGGATGTCTCCTCCAGATTTCCTGCTCCTGCCCCCGACCTGCCCCAGGCAGGTGTGGTGACAGCCTGAAACAAACCCTCGCCATCATCCATCTTGTCTGGCCCCAGGTCCCAACCCCAGCCTGACTCAGGCCCCCTGCACCCCTCAGCCCCCCACCCCTACCACGCAAGCCAGGCTGCAAGCTGGCGGGAATGAATCCCAGACTGGCGGCCTCCTGAGCACCTCACAGCTACACTGGAAATGGAGCTGATCAGGCAGGAAGTAGGCAGGGGTGCCCTGGCAGCTCTGGGCCAAAGCCCCGGTGCCCAGGCCAGAACTGAGACTGGCAGGGAGACCCAGGGACTGGTCTGGGTGTGCTCACCCGCCCCTCTGCCTGTCCTTCTCCTCCTCCCCAGGACCCAGCCTTGTTCACCCCAGCCTCTTTGTGCCACTCCCAACAGGCCCAGCCCCCCCCCCACAACATTTAGACTGGACATCGCTCTGGGGTGCTATGAGGTCATGCATGGAGCCCCACTGTGCCCATGCACAGGTAGGATGCTAATGTCTAGAAAGGTGAATAACCCCTTCAGTCATGGAACTCACTGGCACTTGGAGTGTTTCTGGAGCTTGAGGCTGAAATAGGACTGAAGCTTAGTGGTGAAAGTGAGCTTCCGAATGCCACACATGACTCACAGCCGTGCTTGAAAGCGACAACAAAAAAAGATGGTGGAGAAAGCCCCCACATTGTTTTTTAAAAAAAACAGTGAGTGCCTTGGAGGTTGGAAATGTGGATTTTCAAAAATGTTGTTATCCTCTGCTGTTTCCTAAATGTCCGCTTACAAGCATGTTTAACATTTATAATTTTAAAAATTCCTTAAAACAGGGAGGGGACAAATACACAAGAATAAATCTCTAATGGAATTTTAAGCATTGGCAGGAAAGATATTCGGGGAGGGCAGGGGACAAATTCCCGAGCCCCCTAGGCTCCCACTGTCTCTCTGCAGCAAGGGCCTCTGTCCTCTCTTGGCTTGCTCTAGAGTTGGCAGAGTTCACCCCGCCTTGGCATTTCTAATTCCAGGCTTTTCACCCCTCCATTCTTCACCTTCCTCCCTCTAGGGCAGCACTGTGAGTGAGGTTGTGTGGAGTGCTCCCCTTTGCCTGCCTGAGGCCCCCCTCTAGTCCTTGACACAGCAGCATCTCTGAGCTCAAGCTGAGACAGGCTGAATGCAGAGGGGTGCCCCTCAAGGCCCCCCACCCCGTCAGGCTTCCCTTGCCAAGAGCAGCAGGTTTCCCACAGCAGGTGCACCACACCTCCTCCTGGAAGCCCTCCTTGACTGACCTCTTCTGGCTGCTCACTTACCACCTTGGCCTGGAGACTTTATTGGCACAGCTTAATTTTGTGCCAGTGGTTATGGTAATTCACTGTCCTTGAGCTTGGGACTCTACTGTGTATCAATTATAGAGTCCTCCAGGACTGAGATCCTGATACCCTGTCTGGACTGAGCTTCAGCCCACCAGAGAGTATTCATTAAGTATTTGGCTGAATGAATGAACACTGGAACATGGAGGGTCAGACCTAACTTACTGGTGGCTACAAACTCTGCTTTAATATTTCATAGTCTTTAGGAAAGACAAGGCGTTAAACCCTTCAGCCAAGAGCCATGTTTGGACCTGAGGTCTGGGTTATGTTTGTTTTGTTTTTTAAAAGATTTATTTATTTATGCATACAAGAACTGAGGTACAGGCCAGAGGTATGGGGGTGGGGGATGAGAGGGTTCACCAGAGACAGAGTGGGGAGCAGAACAGGTGGATTGACTGAAATACACTGCTGAGGGGAGCAGCAGGGAGATAGGAGAGGTCTGCTGTGCCCTGTGGGTCAGCTCCCTGGCCGGGGATCGAACTCATGTTGCAGTGGCTGCTATAAGCTTCATAGTGCTGAGACTTAACCCTTTGGGCAACCAGGGAGGGCCTTGGGAGGTCTGGTTTTATGTAGCAATCATAGGTAGGTGGGTGGGTAGACAGGCAGGTGGGTAGATGGGTATTAGTATGTTGGTAGGTAGGTGGGCAGACAGGTGCGTAGAGAGCAATCTGGATGGACAATGTCATTTTCAAATGACAGCCTGCTCCATCATCCCCACAGGTCAACTGGGAAATGTCAGGTGACAAGTCCATGCTCTGCCTGGCACTAGGCTCTCCAGGACCAGCTCCCTCCCAGGTTCCCACTGCCAAAACGTCACAGTGAAATCACTGGCCAAGCAGCACTAAGCACATTCTCTCTGTCTTCGACCACTGTGAGTCCTGCCTGTGACCTTCCCAGAAGCACAACGCTCATGAAAGGCTCAACTTTGGGGCATTTTAT